AGCTTTTAGTTTGCATGGCAAAAGGAACAGTCAGCAGAGTAAACAAACAACCCACAGAGTGAGAGAAAATTTTCATAATCTGTACATCTGACAAAGGACTAATATCCAGAATCTACAATGAACTCAAATCAGTAAGAAAAACAATCCCATCAAAAAGTGGGCTAAGGACATGAATAGGCAATTCTCAAAAGAGGATAAAAAATGGCCAACAAAAATAAAAAATGCTCAACATCACTAATGATCAGGGAAATGAAAATCATCAAAACCACAATGCAATACCACCCCACTCCTGCAAGAATGGCCATAATTGAAAAATCAAAAAACAGTAGATGTTGGCATGGATGCAGTGAACAAGGAACACTTCTACACTGCTCTTGGGAATGTAAACTAGCACAGATGCTATGGCAAACAGTGTGGAGATTCCTTAAAGAACTAAAAGTAGAACTACCTTTTGATCCAGCAGTCCCAGAGGAAAAGAAGTCATTAGTTGAAAAAGATACTTGCACACGCATGTTTATAGCAGCACGATTCACAATTGCAAAATCATGGAAACAACCCAAATACCCATCAATCAATGAGTAAAGAAACTGCGTGTGCTCCCCCTCATATATATAATATATCTATCACAGAATACTATGCAGACATAAAAAGGAATGAATTAACAGCATTTGCAGTGACCTGAATGAGATTGAAGACTATTATTCTAAGTGAAGTAACTCACGAATGGAAAATCAGACATTGTGTGTTCTCACTGATATGTGGGAGCTATGCTATGAGGACACAAATGCATAAGAATGATGCGATGGACTTTGGGGTCTTGGGGGGAAGAGTGGGAGGGGGGCGAGGGATAGAAGACTACAAATATATATGGTGCAGTGTATACTGCTCGGGTAATGGATGCACCAAAATCTCACAAATCACCACTAAAGAACTTACTCATGTGACCAAATACCACCTGTACCCCAATAACTTGTAGAAAAATAAAAAATAAAAGTAAAAAAATTATGTATTCATTTAGGTATTTGCTATTTTCAGTCTTCTCAACTGGTGTATTAGCTCCACAAGGACAGTAACACGTCTTTTACGTTCATCACTGTGTCTCTTGCTTGTGATGTCTAGTTCAGTAAAGGAGGTGAATAAATAAATGAGTGTATACCACATGAAAAAAGATTATAGTGCAAACAGTTAAATAGCCCCAGAAATAAGTATAACTGATAGAGAGGACATTGAGGAGACAGGTTGAAGGGAATGAAGGGCTATGTTAAATAAATTCCTAAATATTTATTCTAGCAAAGTGAGTTGTCAATCACAAATTTTTATCTGAGTATCCTGTCAATTATGATGTGTTTATTTTAAAGCTTTTACTCACATTTATAACTATATTTATTTTTGTGTTAGTAAAAGAAGCTTTCCAAATTATGCTTAATGATGTCTGAGTATTACTAGCTTTGTTTTCTTATCTCTTTTTAATTAGATAAATTATGTCAAATGAACTACAATTATGTCTCATCACCATATTTGTAATTCATTTGTTAAATGCTAACTATGTATCTGGTACTTTATAGGTATCATCTCATTTAATTTTTACAGCAGCCATGAGAAGGAAATGGTCATATCTCATTTTACAGATCAGAACACTGAGGCTCAGAGAAGTTAACTACTCCAAAGTCATATAGCCAGTATTTTCTGGAGCTGGAATTAAAATCAGATGTGTTCAATACCTTCTACTACCCCATTGCTGTCTTTATGGTGAGTTATTTTAGTACACATTAAGAAATACATGAAATATGATTGGTATAGATATAGTATTTCTGTTTATTAGGCAGTTAGGAAACATTTAACTCAGAATTTTAAAGCTGAGAAACTTTTTTCTGAGTATATCAGAAAGGATGTATTCTTCAACTATTTTTCTAAATGAAGCATTAGAAAAGGATGAAATATTTTGACATACAGAAAGGCATACAGACTAGTATAATAACATCTTTGTTCTTACCACTTATCTTGAAATAAAATCTTACTGGTACAGTTGAAAGGCCCTTGTGCATTCCTCCCCAGGGTCATTTTCCTCTCTCTTCCTCGGTGGTAACTGCGATATCAACTTGATCCTACCCTTGCAGCTTTTTTTTTTTGGGGTTATTTTGTTGGTTGGTTGTTGATTGGTTTTTTGGCCCATTGGCGTTTATTTTTTTTTTTTTTCTTGAGGAACTTTCCTTTTTTTTTTTGTTTTTTTTTTGTTTGCTACTCTTCCTGGTTGACTTCAGATTTGTAACAGATTGGAGCCATGACACTTTGAATTCTCCCCATCATACCGTGTACCGTGAGAAAGGATTGAAAATATATAAGTTTCAGAGCCTATATCTTTGGGATGAAAGATCGGTTCAGTAGTTGGTGTTTTTAATCCCATTATGATCTGAAGTCAAATTAGAATGAAGAGCCTTAATACAAATAATCTTGAGTACCTCATGACTTTTAAAAAATATTTAAAGATGAGTGGGTTAGGCTCAAATTCTGATCAAATTTCAGATGGATGAGCACATTCTGTGTTTCCAACATTTTCCTCGGATTTTAAAAGTTAAGTATAGTATTCCTAACTTTGTATGATCTATGCATAAGAGTGTCTTGTGAAAGATTCCCAACAGGTTTAGAGTGTAGTTTAGACTTGGTTACATGAGAGGTCTTCCTTCACACTCGCCAAATCTAAGGGAAAAGGCTTCCTCAAGTTGGCAAAGAATTGAAATAGACTTCTTCAAAAAGGCAGAAAGACAAAAACAAAAAATAAGGACAATATGTTGCTAATTAAGATGCACAATGAAGTGTTACTGATTCAGTGTAATTGATTTATATGAAACAGATTTTTAGGGAATGATAGAAAAGAGGAAAATAGGTAATAAAATGAAGGAGAAGCAAGAATTGTGGTTGTGGTACAGATCGGGGACTGGGGCTAAGAAGCTACTCTTGGGAATAAATGCCTGAGACACAAAAATATCTTGGAAAGATGATAGTGAATGACTAGAAAATACCAAAGACTGGTTTTTAGTATCTGTTACATAGTGAGTACTCATTACTTAATTGATGATTGACTGATAAAATCTCATCAATGAAAAGCACATGTTCATGTATGAAGATACATAATAACTTGTCTGCATACTATTTTATTAATTTCTTTTTTAAAGTTAATCCAGATGGTTATATTTTTGTCATCTTAAAAGTATTTTTTTCTGTTATGCAAGAAGAATGATTTTAAAAATGTATGTGAAGACTCTTGCTAAAGTTCAAGTGACCAAATATTGTGCATAAATTCTTTATTTCTTTCATAAAACTAATTTTGTTGAATTTTCCATAAAAAGTGCAACGACTAAACATTCTTGTGATAGCTTCTTTGTGAATGTGTCACTGTTCTTGATTTGCACACGCCTTATAATTTAGGCTTTCTTTTGTTTTGGGCTGGCAGCTCCAACTGTTAAAGCTCTTGTCTGATTATGTGGAACTCCATTTTAATAGGAGCAGCTTCTTTGCTGCATTTTTAAAAAATGGTCTTGGAAGCTTCTTACTTCCGAGAAGTGGATCTTTGTTGCGGACAAAGGATTATTTATGCTAAAGGAAAATGTATTCCCCACTGAATTAGCTCGTGGGAAGCATAACAAGCTCATTAGGAATGCTCACTTGTACTTTGGCCTTTTGCTGTGGTGGAGAGAAGGGAAAATGACATCAAAAAGGACATTCTGTTGTCTTTTGCCTTCCTGCAAAGAAAATGTATTATAATGTTAGGCTTTTCAGTATGGTTTAGCTCAGGTTCAACTCTGGTACTAGAAGAATGTTCCTGAAAGGAAAGTGGTATGTATAGTTGACACTGTGCATGAGGTATGTCTGATATAACTTAGAGGAAAAAATAACTTTTTCTTGGAAAGTAATAGCATTAGCTTTGTAATTATTGTATATTTTTTCTTAAAATATTTTAAAGGTGGTTTGTAATAAAAATAGACTAGCTTATTATGCTGCTATGAGCAATAAAAAATCCTAGGTTTTTATAGTCTATACTGTTGAATGTTTTTAAACTCTTCACTTTTATCCCTTTGAAAATATAGGAAAGAATTGTATTTACCTAATTCAATGAATTAAAGTATTTTTTTTCCATGTAGATTTCAAGAATACTACTTTGGAGCTAAAATTGCTGTTTCTTTTTTGTCTTTGGAAAATTATTATGGGGAGGCATTGAGCATTTTCGTTCACAGTTAAAATTGATGTTTATTAGCAGAATAAGCTTATAGTCAAGTTTGTGAATTTATGCAAAGTCCTTATGACCTGTTAGGATTTTGATGACAATCAGATAAAGGACAATTTCAATATCAGTTGTTGTAACATTTATATTTACATTATGTTCACAGGGGAAAATAAAATTCTGGGAGATTTTTATACGAGCTAAGTTTTGTTCTTGATTTTTTTTTCAAAACTGTCCAGATGGTTCAAGAATTACTTTGATGCTAATGCCAGAAAATACATATTATATTAAAGTCTGTTTCAGGTTTTCCTTTTTCAAATGAGTAGTCCTTTATGAAGTAAAAAGCAAGGAGTGATACGAATTCGCTTGTAGTCAGACTATTCTAACTAGAAGAGAAAGTTTTGTATTTGCAGTCGAGTAAACACATTCCTAAATCTTGTAATTTGGGGGTTTGGGGGAGTAGCAAAACTGCCACTGTTAACTGTATGTTAATGTTTTGTTCTTTTTTCAGAAAAGAAATTTCATTTCAACATAGGTGACTATGCAGCCTGCAATTCAAGTAAGATTTTTTCTTGGAAAAATATTTAAATTATGAGATTAATATAATTGAACTATAATAATTAGCAAACATAAAATTATCACAAAGTGTTCTTACTGTGCTAGTTTTTTTAAGCATCACATTTTAATAACAGAAATACTATATTTTAACTTTTTAGTTCTCAAAAACTTAATTCTAAGCTTTTGTTTATACTGAATATTTGTAAAATTCAAAAATACCTTAGGGTTATCTCTTCTTGGCCTTTTGGCTAAGAACAAGTGTAAAAATACCTTAGGGTTGGTAGGTCTGTGTTATTTATACCACTGTGGGAAAAGAGGTGGAATATTTTGTGGTTTTCCCCTCATTACAATTTAGTATGTATTTACAGTTAAAAGAACTTTCAGTGAAAACAAATATATGTTTTTAAATTTCAGATAGTTGTTCATGTGCTCTATAAATGCCTGTATATGACTGGCCATTAAAGTTTTAAAGAATGGTTTTTTTTGTTTTTTTGTTTTGTTTTGTTTTTTCTGTGGAGGGGTGCAAGCTGGGTGGTGTAATGAGACAACCAGAATTGCCTTATATTTGAATGATTTCCAGAGTTGGTGTTTGCTATATTATTCTTAGTTTTTAGGTTTTCTTTATTTTGTGTAAATAGAACATGATTGAATATTAACTTAAAAATAAAAGTCACATTGAAGGTCTGCCTGGAAAAAAGCAAGCAACTGATAATAAAATTTCCTTTGGGAAGTAAAACTTGGCATCAATTAGATTTCAGTTCTGATCCTAGTTCTGCCCCCTTGATTCCAAGATTCTGGCAAGTTATCTTACTTCTGAGTCTCTGCTTCCTTACCTCTATGGTGAGGATAACAGTGATTAATTTGCAGGGTAGATGTGAGGAATCAATGAGATAACATGTGCAAAGGGACTGTTAGAATATATATTGCCTGTAAGCACGTCAGAAGTTTGGTTGTATCCTTGGTATGATACAGTTTTCCAGATATAAACCTGGAGATAGTACCTGTGTCATAAAAGTCAGTTAGTCTTTCCTCCTCCTCCTCTTTCTTCTCTTCTCTCCTTTCCTTTCTCTTGTCAACATAACAGTGGATGACAGCCTAGAGAAGAGAATTTATCAAATGGTGAAGAACAGCCCTGCATGTGACCCTGTTGTCCACCTTCCTATATTCTGCAGCTAAAATCTCCTACTCTACTAATAGAGTTCCATCATACTTTTCCTTTTGGGACTGGGGAGTCCATGACTGTCTCTCAAAAGGTCTTACTCTTCCCCTTTGGGTCCTCTCACATCCACTGGCATTTGCTCGGAACTCTGTTATTACTCAAAATCATTTGTGAGCTGATTACTTCTGTTCATCCCCTTTTTATCCAAGTCTCAGGAATGTCATTAGTTTCTTATCATTTATTTTCTTGATTCCTTATAGAGTATTTTTATTGCTGCCACATTGCCCATGTTTTTCCTTATTTCTGCACTAATGGACTTTTATATTTTGTTAACATGGCAGATTCTTTCATAGTTTGTGTAATGGTTCCATAAAATCTTCTCTGATCCAGATTCCAAGATCTGTCTTTATTGATTTTTTTTTTCCCAAGACTATCCTCCCTTCACATGTCTCATGGAGGTTTTTGCTGCTGAATGTAAGGACTTCCCAGGATTTCCACCTCTTTCTCTGCCAATTATGTTAGACAGTTACTTGGTTATTAACTGTCTTACAGAGAGGAGACATCCAGTGAATAGTTGTTATTAATTGACGTCTTACTAATTTGATAGTTTAAGATATTTCTTGCCATTCATCTGTGTCCTTCATTCTGATTAATAAACATTAATAAATAAACATATAGTATAAATATAAACATATAGTATAAAAGCATATAGTATAAAAGCCAATGGACAATAGTATATGACCTTTCTGGGGTCATAGTCCCATTTGAAAATCTGACAAAG